GTCTAGACCCCGAGCAAGATAAAATGAGAAACGCAACGAACATGATATGTGAATAACGACTGTACTGACAAACGAAGGAAAAAAGAAGCGTTTGATGGAGATAAATGGTTAAAAATAGAAATGATAACACATTTGGTGAAGGAATGATGGAATGCCATTTTCATGTTGGGTTCGTTTTTCTTCTTCGGGTGCACAATATTTTTTTCCCGAATGTGTGTGTACTTTGGAAATGTAATATTCATTGCGTGACGATGTTTCTGGCTATTTGGAGTGCTTCGTTCATTCCATTTTCCCAGAGTTGATGGCGAATGGGTTTCAGTGACGCGCATATTAAGATATGCGAATAAACAAAAGGTTAAACGTGACATGAAATTACAAATGTTACCGAATCCACAGAACTGTGGTTACTCACTACTTCTGATGCTGTTACTACTGCAGCATGTAAATATATTTGCGCTTTTGTTAACTCACTCGCAGCAAAAATTAAATCGTAACGCTTGCTCCGTGTAAAATGCATGCACACCACAAAACGAGAGTGAAACTTAATTTTGCTGCCACTCGTCCTTTTTGCGTGCGCATTTAAATTGTATGCATTTGAAATCGTGCTAAATTCGAAAATGTGTGAACGGAAAATTGAGCATGAAATATGGGAATTTTCTCCTTCGAAGCAACGTGCTTGGTATTTTTTGTTTCGTTTTGAGAAGCTATTTTAACTTTTCAAAAAAAAAATCAGCAAAATATCGTCGAGGAAGTAGATTTGGAGGAACTTCTTTTTTTGTACATTGAGATTTGGATTTAAATGAAACGGGTTGCCATTTGAACCAAACAAGTTGACTACGAAATTAATAGCTGAGAGAGAAAAAAACTACTGAACGAATCCGTTTGTGGGCCATTTCTTTACGCTCGAAGTATTGTTCGCTCTAAAACATTTTTGACAATTAACATCGAAATTTTGATGTGAGTTCAACGAGGATAAAATTAGAAAGGTTTTTTTTGCTGTGCTGAAAAGGACGCTGCGAGGCATTTAATTTCAACTCCAATTTTCAGTATAAATAGAAACGGCAAAAGCATACAAATGGAAACGAATTGCGATTTTTCCAAAGTCTTTCGCATTTCCATGGCACGTGTGTGTGTATATCCTGAAAATGGCATATTTAGGGCTTTGATGCTTCGCCTATTTCACAATGTTTGAAATTCACATTCGCCCATTTTGTTCATTGGCAAATTAGAAAAAGCAGCTTCACAGACGACAGAAAAAAAAATAACAATAGCGAAAGAAAACGTCAAAAAGGTAGAGAGAAAGAATCGTTTACCTCTTTAATTATGTCATGAGTTGGCAATCTCTTTTAGAATTAACTCCCAGACGATTTTGCCAGCCACCTTGGTGCAAAGCTTAGGATTGAATTCCTAGAGGAACTTGCCCTTTTGTGGCCATTTTGACATACACACCGACGAATTGCGTCGCTCCGAATACTGCACCGTCACCACCGTATGCTACGTATTGATATGGTAGGGATTATACTTCGGTTCATTTTCGTTCATCAACACCATCTAAATCAATTCGGAGAAGGCAATCGAACCAGAGCCAACATTAAACACTGGAATGGTGTGCAGGCAATAGGCTGGGATGGCATACATCAAATCTTATCTCGATCATTATTATTTTCGTTACGTTTGACATTTAGTACACGTTGCGAGGGAGAGAGTGAAACAATATGACGCCAATTCCAATACAAACAAACGGAACAAAACGTTTTTGTGAATCCGTTTTGTCTGCCCGAAAACGGCTAAAGATTCTATGGGGCCACACACGTTCTCACACACTTCCCGTATTCCGTTTGCTCGTTGAATTTTGTACCCGAAAATCCATTTAATTTATTTCTTTTACATGGCGACGGAATTAAAGACGAGAATAAAATGTGCGCGTTATGTTACTGTGCCGAACGAATGTGAGGTTTTTTCCCGCCAGCAAACGCAAACGAAAAGCGCTTTACGATTAAAATCTTTCTCGTTTACCGCGTTGGTTCGATGCCTCCATTGAAGTTCGTAGCCAATTTGAGAAACAGCAGATTACATAGTACATGCATGTGATCTAAGCGCTCTTAGATTACAGTCACAATGTGACTGAGTCACATATATATACACAAAAGAGAAATTGATTTTTTGTGTGCTTTCCATTAGCAATTCTGTAGCGTTTGAGAAAAAGGGGGAGCAAGACCAACCGAACCACCCAAATGATGGAAGAGAAAACAGTCAAATGCCAAATAAAACAGGCATTGAAAAAAAGATTCAAGCTTCATTAGCGAAACAGCTTTTGATCAGGCTTCAGTGTCTGTGCATTTGTGTATGGGAATTCGCTCTGCTTTTTTTATGTGCCGACAACATTGTTGCCGCTTTTGTGCCGCTGCCACGTTTCGGATAGAGACATAGAAAACAAGAGCGCCTGCAGTCATAGACAAATCGTAAATCAGATTTGGCATGAAAGCAACAGACAAATGTGGGAAAATATTCGAGTGATCGAGAAATAAAAAACAATCACAACGCAGAAAATAGCACAAGCAAATGTGTTGCACAATTAATAAATGTTACATCACGTTGTACAATGTACATAGTTCAATTTCCACATTCGCATTGATTGTATTATTGCCTCTTTCACTCATTGGGATACAATTTTGTAATACATTGATTTTTGCAAAATTAAAATTTGAAATTGTATACATGAATTTAAATAATTTGGTGAATAAAACCCATTGTTCGCAACTCATTTAATATTGATCATATTCATACATTTTGATATAACCAATGAATATATATTTTATATTGTTAAAACAAAAAAGCTCATGCTTAAAAATAACAATTTTGTGCATCGTCGCGTCGACAAAAAACAACCTTTTTTTGAATCCACTCAACGGGCACCATTGATTGATTTGGGTATTTTATGGAACAAATTGAAAAGTGCTCGAGTGCAGGGCTCAAGTGGTTTTCTGCGAAGATATTATCTGTTCTCATCATTTTACGCATCTCGAAAGGTCTCGACAAGTATGAAATTGGTCTGAAGAATATGATTGGATTTGTAACTGAGATAAACAAAATCCTTAATGTGAAAAAGAATGTTGACTACATTGATGTACAATATGCTGAAGTAAAAAATATAATTCGTCTAGTCATTTCAAGTTAGATACGCGAGTACTTGCGTAAATGAAACAATGGCCATTAAATTAGAGGCTGCAAATCAAGTTTTATTTTTTAACAGAAAAAAGGGATTAAGAAATCCTTGTTCAATGTACATTGTCGAACTAAGTTCTGTGTTCAAGATTCAAATTCTATTAAATGGTTGCCTTATCTTTCAGTGAAATCCAGCTCGCATTTATTCGCGGTATTTCAATTAAAATTTCATTCAAAGTCGATATTGCATTTTCCATTATTATTCGGGCTAAAATATTGATAGTTTTATCTTGGCGAACAGTCCAGACACCAAGACCAAGAGGCAACGACATTGTATAAATATTTGTTGTTGTTGCTAGTGAACTGGCAGCATAAAAGCGTGTGTAATTTTCAAAACAGAGAGTAAACTTTATTATTATTATTGAAAAAAACATAATTAATATTGAATGGATAAAAAAAATTTGGTAGTTTGAACAATATTTTATCAAATTAAAACAAATGAAGTAGAATATCTCGTTCGAAAATTAATCAAGCAAATATTTTCCACAAATGATGGAACAAAATTATTTTGGAGCAAAATATTTAAGTTCAATCTTTTGAACTTTCAAAGTTTCATCCTTAAACCAATGCTTTTGAACAGATTTTCGGTAATAAAATATAATAAAACTCTGCAATTTCCATTTTATATATTCTGCAATCTGCATTGTTATAGTTTGCGCTAATTGTATCGTTCTCAGAAGCGAACTAAGCATAATATGGCATTTCTATGCAAAAATTGTGTAAATTTCATTCATTTATTCAATTAACACAGACCTGGTTATTAGTTTTTCTTAATTTATGAATTCGGCGTACATCCTTGGATGATAAACCTTTGAAATCGCACAGCACTTTGAAGTATGTATACTAGGGCGGGTCGATTTGTAGGGAGTGAAAAAATTCGACAATTTCCCTATGATTTCCGTATTCTATGGGTTATTTCAAGAAAATTTGCCCAAGGAACCATACCTCTATCGTTAAAATCGAGTCCCCTACTTTTTGTAGGTAGATTTTTTTCCAAAATTGACGTTCGTAAGAAATGTTACCTACACGTTCACATCCATAACTCAAAAACTATCGATCGGATCTAATCGCCAGTAGGCGCGTTGGAAAGGTGAGCTCATTCTGATCAATTTACAAAACAAAACCTCCAACATTGGTCCTACGGTTCAAAAGTTACGGGCATTTTTGTCCAAATTTTGAACCATTTTTCCATTTTTTTCATGATTTTGTCCAAAAATATTACTTTCATGGCCATTTTTTAGGCTCAATCCATTATTTTATTCAATTTACAATTCAAAACGAAGAGTTTAAGCCCAAATTTATCGAATTCGGTTGATTAGTTCAGGCGATATTGCTAAAACAAAATAACACATAAAACCAACTTTTTGATTTTTTTTCCCCTTTTTATTTTTTTTTCTACAAAAATTCAAATTAAGAGATAATAAAGTATCTATCAACCTATAATCAAAAAAAAAATATTCAATTTGAGCGAAATATAACGTATTTTTTCAAAACAATACTCTTTATCAACATAAGTGTATAATATACACTGTATATCGACATGTGTTACAGATTACAAGCAACGCCACCATGCTTGACATGTGTGAGATCATACTTTATTGTTTACAACTCAATATAGGGACTGAATATCGGCGTAAAATGTGTTATTCCTATTGCGACGATTCAAATGGCTATTTTTCATATACGCACCAATACATTGTCACACACTGGCATCGTCTCTGTTGTGTTGAATGTATTGAGCACGTTGTTGAGCGCGCAATTCACAATACATTCAACACAACAGAGACGATGCCAGTGTGTGACAATGTATTGGTGCGTATATGAAAAAAAGCATATAATATTGCAGTGTATGCTAGTTTTGTTTGAGCGTCATTTCAGTGAAGTGTTACTTGAAATAACTAACAAATAATCAAACTATTTTGAAATTTAGAAAAGATTTAAAGGTAAGTGTAAAAACATTGCTTACTATTATAGTTAATAGTTATATTATTATTCTATGAAAAACAAATTTAATTCTTTTAGTGACGATTTAAAAAATGGATTCAGAGCCTGATTCATCGCAAGATCCAACAGATACCCAACGCAGTAGTTTGCAACATTTGGTCTCTCATGATGTTTTTTCTTTTGGCGTGGCTTGTGAATTACCTGATATTAATCTGTCAACAAAACGAGATATATTGAAGTATTATTTTTTCTTGGCCGAACGTTCAAAAGCCCTAAGCAAAATGTTTTCGTATAAAACACTTACTCCCCAAGTAGCAGACAGATTGTTCGAAATTTGGAGTCAACTTAATATTGAACTTATACTCAAAGGTAGCATCATTAGAAAATTGAATGCTTTCATTGACGCATATTATAATGCAGTTAAACAACGAGTAAAACGCGCAACAGAATTCCAAAAGTTCGTAGAATCAACAAACGAATTATTCAACATTGGAAAATGTAAATGCAACTTGAAAGAAAACGACTGCTCATGTGGATCTATCCCAGAAAACTTAAACTATTTCATGCGCGATCAATATAATGACAGAATACAAACGATACCGGAACACGATAGTGGAAGTGAAGAGACGATACCAACGACTATACCAACAATCCCAGTGAGCAACGATCCTACATACACACCAGATGATGACGAAATGGAAGTTGATGTGAGAGGAGTTTCAGAATTAGTTCTATCACCACAAACATACACTCACAGATACAATACTAAAAACTATGCAATGATGTGTGACAGATTTGGTGTGCATGATAGAATGGGATCAGCATTGGCAACAGCTCTGATGGAAGACCTGGGCGTAAAAGATGCTCATGACAATCTTGTCATCATGGATAAAAGTAAACTTCGTAGAGAAAGAGAAAAATGGAGACAAGATGCACTTCGTAAGCGGTATGATGGCTCGAATTTGATATCATTTTCATTCGACGGCAGAAAAAATGATGCTCTAACTTTAGAAAAAATTGATGAGAAGTTGCATCCAAGGATGGTTAAAGAACCTCATCTAGTTGTTTTGAGGGAACCAAATTCTCAATTGATAGGCTACACAAAAGTAGAAAGTGAAACTGCGGAAAGCAAAGTCAACAAATTGATCGAATTCTTCCAAGAAAAACAACTGTCTCTCGATTCATTAATTGCCATATGCTCTGATGGTGAACCAACAAATACTGGCGTACACGGTGGAGTTTTGCGACTATTCGAAAAACTGTTAACTATATAATAAAAGTATACACGCCAATGTATTTCAATGTTAAGTATCATAGCTCTGCCGTATACGGTAGTACATTACTTTTTAAATTTATTACTTGGACCCGATTTTTACCATCGAATTTACGTCAAGTTGTAAATACAGTAATTCAAGATAATGCATATTTTGCACACTCAGAAAATATCTTGCTATCTATGTTGTTCGATGATAGAATGGAAAAACGAAACATTGCTATCAAGAAGATTTTACATTACCGAAGAGATATTGTCGACCCAACGGAACTTAGAGTTTATAAAAAACCTCTTATAAACTTTAATTGTACGGAATATACAAATATGATTGATTTAAATGACGATACCATTTTATTCGAACCACCGTTTACGCAAAGTCATTCGTATGAACATTTGGAGGGATATTTAAATTACGAAGAGCCACCATTCGATGATCCACAAATTCCTTTACACATCCAAGGAACGGAAAGACATATCCAATTGCTGGCTGCCACTGCTAAACGAGTTGCAGGAAAGAATGTAGAAGGCGCTATGGCGACGACATTAGAGAGCCGTGAGAAAACACCCAGACTTGAAAGCAAACAAGACTTTCAGAAAAAATAATGTTTTTTTTCACATTTTTTCTTTTACTACACTCAAATTGAATATTTTTTTTTTGATTATAGGTTGATAGATACTTTATTATCTCTTAATTTGAATTTTTGTAGAAAAAAAAATAAAAAGGGGAAAAAAAATCAAAAAGTTGGTTTTATGTGTTATTTTGTTTTAGCAATATCGCCTGAACTAATCAACCGAATTCGATAAATTTGGGCTTAAACTCTTCGTTTTGAATTGTAAATTGAATAAAATAATGGATTGAGCCTAAAAAATGGCCATGAAAGTAATATTTTTGGACAAAATCATGAAAAAAATGGAAAAATGGTTCAAAATTTGGACAAAAATGCCCGTAACTTTTGAACCGTAGGACCAATGTTGGAGGTTTTGTTTTGTAAATTGATCAGAATGAGCTCACCTTTCCAACGCGCCTACTGGCGATTAGATCCGATCGATAGTTTTTGAGTTATGGATGTGAACGTGTAGGTAACATTTCTTACGAACGTCAATTTTGGAAAAAAATCTACCTACAAAAAGTAGGGGACTCGATTTTAACGATAGAGGTATGGTTCCTTGGGCAAATTTTCTTGAAATAACCCATAGAATACGGAAATCATAGGGAAATTGTCGAAAAAAAAATCGACCCGCCCTAATGTATACCCTTGTCTGTGTGTTTGAAGTTCCAAAAAAAAAGTGTTTCTGCAAAAATGAGCCTCATGGGCGCCTTTTCCATGCCGTGTAGAAGGCTCATCAAAAATTCATTGCGTTGCAAGTATTTGCATAAGCCTGTGTCAGACATTTCACTGTTAGTTAGCCCCATATTACCGTTTTAAAGTCGACGCATAAAAAAGTTATGTTTATGATTTGTTGCCAACAACAGCAGTCTGAGCAGCAGTGTCACGCGTAAAATCCCCTTCAAATAACTACTAAAGAAAACAAATAACACGGCGATAATCAAGTATGTGTGTGTAAATATCAGTCGTCTTGAAAGTGGAAAAGTTTGCGATTTTCTCGCATTCACGCGTCTGATCATCTTTTACGATTTATACATTGAATTTATGACACCAATCTAAATCAAGAAATTCTCACACGCCCCTGCAATCCCAAAAGTGAATCTCATTTTATCCATTTATTCAACATTTCATTAGCAGATGGTATCATAAATTGCAAACACATCAGCTGGTTGATGCTCTGTCGCTCCATGTGACGACGGCAACATTAGACGAAGTGTTCGGTATAAAGCCAACGAAAATCCTGTCGCAACTAATTTATAGAGATTGTCGAAGCACCTGAAAATGGCATCCAGCCGTGAAAAGTCATGAAGATAGCATATTTCAATGTTTTTTTTCGTTGCAAATTTTATTATGAAACGTTTGTTAAAATGTATCGAGGGTGTATGTATGCGTATTAAGTGAATATCAATTAACTAAATTAATTAAAGCCACTTTAAAATTGTCTCCTGTTTGGCTTTAATGAGCGTGGGTTGATTAATTCGACTTATTTCCAGACTTTTAAGATCCTGAGAGTTTCGTTTGAGTAAAGAGAAAAAAGAAATGGGGTGAAACAAGTCTTTCAAGGGTTAAGGGGAAGGTTATTTCTTTTCTGAAATTAATGAAGCACAGATTTTATTGACGAGAAAAAGGGGGAAAACCAAATCTAACAGACAGAATGGTGGTTTTAAGGCCTAGGTCAGAATAACAATTGTTCTTTTGTTTCTTGTTTTTCTTTCTGTTTCTGTTTCATCGGATCATTGAGCTGTTTTGTCCTTGGGAGCGCATCTTTGATACTGTGCAGTAATTAGCAGCCCAAAAATAATTATTTTCATGTTGGATTATAGTTTTACGTAACATATTTCGACTTTTTCAGAAAAATTGTTTTTTTTAACAAAATTCGACTTTGAAATTCTGGGGTTTTAAATTCGGATTTTGTTCAGTTTTTCACGAAGAATTTTGTGGTGGTTTCAGTTTGAAGGTTCGATTGAGCATTTCGAAAAATTAACCCAAAAACGCTAGTTAATACCGACCTTATTAACATATTAATAAGATAATTGATCTTATTAACGAGCATTTTTGGGTTAATTTTTCAAAATGCTCAATCGAACCTTCAAACTGAAACCACCACAAAATTCTTCGTGAAAAACTGAACAAAATCCGAATTTAAAACCCCAGAATTTCAAAATCGAATTTTGTTAAAAAACAGTTTTTCTGAAAAAGTCGAAATATTTTGCGTAAAACTATATGTTGGATAACGTCAATCTTTTGCCAATCACTTCAAAGAGACTTACCGATTCGGAGAAATGATTCGGTCCCAATTGTTTGCGAACATAAGACAAATGGATTGAAAATAAGCAAAAAAACACGCCATCTCTCTCATCGCTGGACAATTACAAGAGGTCGACAAGATTAATGACACCAAATTCACAGCTATTATCGCATTGAATGTCTATCAATATTGCGTTTAGGTATTTGTTTTGCTTCTTCTTTCTTTCTTTCTATTTATAAATAAATCGGGTCAAGTTTATGCTGTATGCGTGTCGCCATAAGAGCTACTAATCTGAAAAAAAGTTTTTTCTTCTCGTTGCTGTCATGAAATCCTTTTCGATCCGAAACCCATATCCATTTGAAAATTTTCGCACACTTTTTCGTCATTTTCTCAGCAGTGCACGAAGAGATTATGGATTATATCATTCAATTGAATCTTTAATTTCGATGAGCAGACTGCAGTATTTCAAAGCGAGAAAAGCGATACGATGGCATTTAAAATCGCTTAAAATGTCACATTGCCAGTTCAAAGGTATTAGTCAATTTCGTGACTGCACAATATGAATAAAAACGAAGTTTTAAAAACAACTTTTGTTTTTGTTTACATGTCAACCCCTTTTGTTCTCTTTGTCGAGGCGTTACAACGTTTATAAATACAAAGATAGAGGAACAGTAGATAAAATTGGCGCAAAATAGAGACAGCAGAAGGGAGAAAAAATATCGAAAAACTTTTTGATAAATGGCTGGTGGAAAAAGTTTTTGCCACTCGATGAGCAATTTTCAGTTTAATGAAAGAAAATGAAAAACACACTCGTGCACGGGTTGTGTGTGTGCGCGCGCGTTTATTTCGCATGGGAAATTAATTATTATGTTCAATTTGAGAGATTGCGCGTACATGTTCGCAGTTTATATCGCGTGTGCAAAACAATTAATGAACCAGATAATTTCATTGGAATTGTTCTTTAAACGGTCAATTTGCCGTGCAGTACAATCCAATATTTTTTGCGTTCGCAAAATGAAAAGTTATCGCACCCGTTTGCGATGAAGGAACACATAACATTGCGACTACGTGCAAAACTTGAATTGCCATTTGTAAAGCCGAAAAATTGCTTCTAATGAACATTTATCAAGAATAAATGGTTGGAACGAATGATGGGAAAGAAGAAAAAAGAAAATTACTACAATTGATAATCTTTGTGAAAAGTTTGTGTGTGAGTCGGTGACAAGCTGCGCGACCGACATGAACTGGCTGGGTGCATTAGCTGTGATGTGTCACACCAAAAGCATCAGTGATAAATTTCCACTGGTTGATTGCCTTCACTGTGAGGCGCACACCCACACATTTCGTCGCCTCGAAACAAATTCACCCACCAGTGGTAGCAGCAGCTTTATCCAGTGCAAATGAATCGACAGTAGGAGATAACATTCGATGTTTAGCTCGAATCACAGTTGGTTATTTTCTTGATCACACTCGCTTTTTCATCTCATTTCTGTTTTTCTCTTCTGCTTTTCTCGTCTTGTTGCCATATTTTAATCTTTTAAATTTACTTTTGCGTCGCTTTCAAAAGTATTCACTCGAGAGACTGGTTTCAAAGTTAGCTTCATGTGTCATCATCGAATTCTTTGGTCGTTGGAAAAACTTTCGCCCATGATAAATGGTTATTAGTTTCATTGTAGTTTTGCTGCTGCTGCTGCATTCGTTCGATTTTTCTGCAACAACGTAAATTCAATTCAATTTCAATTTTTCTTCATTGCGCGCAAGCAAATCGGCTCTATCCCAAGCAGCTAGTAATAACAGCCGCAATTGTGCATTCATACACACATATTCAAGGCCAAATAGTGTGCAAATGAAGGAATTGAAAAGTTTTTTTTGTGGTGATGCTCAGAAAATGATGAGCCACACGAAATGGGTTTCAACTAACTCAATATTTTTCGAATAGATGAATGGAAAAATGTGCTTCTTCATGCACTGAATGAAGAAGAGAGGGCGAGGGAAAAAAGCGAGCACCTTTTGCCTCGAGAATTTGATGTAATTTTTTTACAATGCATACACACACATACTCACAAAGCGGATAGAAGGAAGAAAAGTGAAGGGGAAAAAATGATTGAAGTGGGTGAAAATGCTTTAACTTAAACCGCATAACACTTGAAATGCGAAGTGCATACAAAGGCTGTATTCTGATGGGAAAATGCGAACAAAAATCCGATTAAAATAGAAACTCGCTATATAGCGCAGATCATAGAGCATCAAGTGTGTGCGAAATGAAGAGCATGCTTGCACTTTTGCGAAAAAGATGCATAATAATTTATCCCGTCTCGTGAAAATGGAATAACGAACAATAATGGAAAGAAAAACGAACGACGATGAATACAACTTTAGACTTGGGTTTTTTTGCTTTGCAGTCGATCTTTCCCTTTCCCGCTTGCGAGAACGCTGAAATTTCAATTTACATAACTTAACAAAGTCGGATACAGCCATGGCCGTCGTCGTTATCATTATTATGCGCATCACCACCATAAGACCTGGCAGTTTGTACAGTTTTGGTTTGAGAGCCAATGAAAACCAAAACGCGCCACACAATCACTATCTCAATGCGTTTGGTTCAGTGAATTCTCTTGTGGGTTAGCATGACACCGTATAGTAGCATTCGACACCCAAGGGCTATAATATCTCACAGAGTAAATGCTCTGCAAGAACAACAAACAGTGTGCTGCACACAAAATTAACTTGAGCTACCAATTTTCCATTACAATACCGCATTCTTATTCCGTCGACGCTCTCTCTCTCTCTCTCTCTCTCTCTCTCTCTCTCTCTCTCTCACCCCTTTCTATATGTGCGGGTTTTTTCCTTCTTTTGGGATGGATTTCAAGAAAAATCATTTCAAAAACATTGAATGAAAAGCAAATTTACCACAATTTCCACTTAACTAAAAATCAAGTGGCGTACAATTAATGCCTTTCTTGACGAACTTCGAGGCTATGAAAAGGGTTTGGTCTTCAAATAAATATGAAATCTTTTGGTCGGCTTTCTCTCGGACCACAGTTCTGCGGGCTTTGTGCACGGCAAATAGCGAGATGTGTGTGTTTGTGTGTTTGGGTGAAAGCATGCATTTTATTCGAATTTGAATGAAGTTTATTGCGCTAATAACAACCGTCAGTAATTCAGCCAGCGGGTGTAGTATGAACGTTAAATATCCGGGCGGGGAAATGCAGTTAAACCAACTTTTATGCATGCATACAAATTATAATGGTGCACCAACCACTTGCAGTTTCTATTTAATAGCAGCGCTCTGTAGATTATTCATTAAAGAGAGTGCATGAAAGTTGTGTGCAGATTCAGATTGACCGATGCGAATGCTTTCAACCCAACATCTTTTTTACATTTT